TCCCGCAGCCCAGCCCCTACCCCATACCCCTCATAGGCCCCCCTTCCAATAGTCTGGCATATCTGATAATACAGCACCCCCTGGTTCCTAAAGGTGCTGGATTATCAGAAGTTTACTGTACTAGGAATGTATCCAAGCACAGTTAACGGATGAGCTTGGGCTGCTTCTGAATCCAAGGTGGGAGCTGGTGTGCACAGGGAGCCGGCTGTACAAAATTTCAGCAGGTACTAGGGTTGCCAGAGGCCACAAATACCAGACTGTCCGGGCCAATACCGGACACCTGGCAACCCTAGCAGGTGCATGTTTACACAAATAAATGCATTTTTAACATCCCTGATAAATACAGCATGTAAATCAAGGAACTTTGGATAAAGGTCTAGAAAAATGTGAATGTTAAATTCAGTCACATTTTCATAGGATTTATTTATTAGGGAGGATATTTCTATGAAAAATTTTGATTAATTTAACCAGATTAAAAAAAATGTAGTTTTAAAGAGGGAAATGATGGTTGTAGTTCTGTTTTCACCATTGTTTATTGTGCTATTTAGAAGTACCAGGAATCAAATGATTATTTTTAGTAATACCAATAAACCTTTTGCCCCCACTTTGTTGTCACTACAATTAGTGTTTGACAGTTTGTTTAGAATTGGAGTCACTGGCTGATTTGGGGGATTGGGAGTTTCCTTTATAGTTCCCTCATTTTAATCTTCTCTCTTACTTAGTCCTCCACTCGGTGACATCACTACAGGATTCCCTACAGCAGGGATGTGCAAGCTCAGGTAATCAACTGGTTCCTAATGATTTGCTATAAAGTAATTCACTACATTTTATTCTTTTTATGCTGTGTTGATGCCTAAAGGCTTCTTATGTTTTGTTATAGCATGCAAGAGCACCTTCAGGGGTCTTTTTACTGACAGTTAATTCCTCACTCCCTCTGAGTTGCTATGGCAGATCTTGAAAATGCAGACATTTAACAGAATATATTAGTCTGGAAAACTGTGATCTGAAATCATGCATTATCTTTTTTTAACCATGGTTTATCAATTTGACATATGAAGTGGCCGTAAAACAAAAGTGTTTCATTTGTAAAGTGATCTACGTACCCCAACAGTTGTATTTTGTTACATTTTTTCACCTCCCCTCCCCCCTTTGTGGTTCTAAATCAGCTTTTCTCATTTAAAGTTCAGGAAGTTTGCTAAATATGCTGCTCCTCCTCCCACCCCTTTACTAAAACACAACAGAAATGTGTGGAAAAAATGCAAGTAAATTGCTTAAAGAGTTTTATGAGGATGACCACTAGACTAGGGAACCCAAGTATAGAACAGCTGTGTTCCTGCTGTTAGATGCCAAACTCTACCCACGCATGTTATTTAACCAGTGCTACAGTTAACTGATGTTAGCCATTTATGTTGTATTCCAGACTAGAGAAATATTTGTGCTCTGTGGTTGCAAGATGATCAGGTGCTATAAATGAAAAAAATTACAGCAGTTGAAAATAGAAAGGTCATGAAAAAACTTTTAAAAAGATGAATAGTCCTGCAGCACCTTAGAGCAGTGTTTCCCTATTTTATCTGGCCACAGAACCCTAGGGCCCTGCTGCTGCGTTTCGTCAAGCAAAAAAAAACCCACTGTGGCTCTGTCTCTTTAAGAGGGGCCGGGGAAGTGCTGGCTCTTCGCAGAACCCTTGCTTTCAATTTGCGGAACCCCAGGGTTCTGTGGAGCACCAATTGGGAAACACTGCCTTAGAGACTAACAAAACACGTAGATGGTTTTGTATCATGAGCTTTCATGGGCACAACCCATTTCTTCATATTTCTTCAGGTGAATCATGTTAGGTCATCTTTCCCATCTCCTCGCAATTGCAACATAGTACATTTTTTTCTGATAACTTGTCCCATTTTGGTTAAATGTCCTAAATAATGCGGTTTCCACCATTTTCCTTATCATGGGACACTTATAGTGAGATGTACTGTATTAGGCTGTGAAACAAAATGTATTTCTCATACTGAGAAATTCTCTAAATTTTCTGTTGGAGTTAGATGAAAATGGAATGAATAAAGTATAGGCAAAATGTCAGCATTAAAACTAATCATGAAAATAAAATCTTCATGAATAAATGTAGAAACATTCTTTGCAATCACAGAGCTATTGTTAACTTACATATAGGCATTTAAAGAACATGTAAATTTCCGTAGGCATTTTTAGACTGCTGCTCATGAAAGCATGTAATAGCAACTTTTCTTAGCATTCATCCAACAGAAGTCACTATTCTAATTTAAAAATATATATACCTACTTAAGGAAACACAGAAAATATCATAAATAATACATTTAACTGGTCATAGTAGGATGGAGGGGGGGGGAGAGAGAAAAGGCTGTATTTCATTGTTAATTTTTCTAGTCCCTAGCCATAATTAAGAAGTGTTCAAAGCCTGACCTTCAGGATTCCAATCTGACCCAGTGTATAAGTTCCCAGGAGGGATAGCTGGTAACTAACAGTTATTTCCTTTGGGAAGTTTAGATGTGAGATTCTGCTCCATTGCTACATATACCCACCTAGTTTGCCAGTTACTGCCCATGAGATAATATTTTACTATGTGCAAAGTTTTTATTATCTGATGGAGCATATTATTGATTATTACCATTCATTAGTCTTGCCTTAAAAGTGACCTGCAAATGAGGAAAAAATGGGATTGCGTCCACTTCTTTATGATAAAAAGTTTGAAAATTAATAAAAAAATTTATTTTTAGAACTAGAAGTTCATTTTGTGTTTTCCCTTGAATACTTGATAGAACTAATAGATTTATGAAATCACAGATAACAAGAGACTGAAGCATGAGAGGGGACAGGTATTTTGATAATTTTTTTGTTACCATCTATATTTTAATTCAAATGCCCAACAAACAGTTGGTAAAAGAGCTATGTTTCTGAAAGATTCAATGTCCCATCCCTCAATTTGAGGGCTGTAAATGCTCAAACTCCAATTAAACTGTCCTCCAAGGAGTTTTTCAACAAAATAAATGAAGACAAGACATATCTAAAATAAAAATCAAGGAGTATATAACTTTTAAAAAAAATTCAGGACTTCTCTATATGATATACACACATATTTTTCCTTAGCATATTCCATTTAAGTATTTGTAAGAATAGCTGCTAATACAGAAAAACGTCAGATTATATTTTGGTATTTTGTGTGTCTGAGCTTTAAACATCAGTCTTGTAATCAGAAGATCTTTGCGCGAGTTCTACAGAATTTTACACTTAAAAGGTGGTACTTATTGTTCCAGTGGTCAAAAAGAAAACCAGTATGTTCTCTCTAACATTTTTATTCATGTATCTTTTTACTTTTGCCTTTGGGTAATTTGCGTCTTGTTGATGCCTACCTCATTAAAAATACGGACCAAATCACATAAAAAAATTCTGAATTAATGTCACCCAACTGCATCACATTTTTTAAATAAATTGGGACCTTATTTAGTCACATTTTCGATGGTCGAAGCTAGATTAAAATTAGAAAGTTGCCAAATTTATTAGGATATGTACATATTGGTTGTGGGCATACAGGTATGTAGCCAAAAGAGGCATGTAGCCCCTGTATTCATTTTCTTTGGATTTGAAGGGGTATTTTCTTCACTGAGTGTCTGTAAACCATTACAAAAAAGGGGGGGGAGACACACCACGATATCATGTATCGATTTCATTGATTGATTTGATATTCCGAAGAATGCTGAATTTTTAACTCATTTCTGTATTTATCCTTTGTGAAGGTCATGTAATATCCATATACTACATAAGACTTGCATACAAAATGACATGTATTTCTGTTAGGGTCTTCTTATGACCTAATGTGAAAATCTTCATTTGCCAATACAGGTGCAGGTGATCTCAGGGGATTTTGAATTTCCCTTTTGTTTGTCTTCCGTTGTGGGTATCATCCATCATTCCTAAGTTCATGCTGCTTAGCAGTAGAAATGCTCATGGGATTTGAAGAAAGGATTATAGCTGCATAAAATGGGGAGCTAGTTGTAGCTTGTTTTTTAAATCACAATGTGTATCACCTAGTGATTTAAAAACCAAAGATCTACTAAAATGTTACAGAAAACCTTTCATTTCAGAATAAAAGCATTTGTAATAAGGGGTGATTACTCTTTATCATCCCTGGGGAAAGAAGTATAGAAAAATCCAAAGATGAGTATAGGATAAAGTTTATTCCAGATGTGATGTCATTCTGTAATCCAAGTACCGCTAACAACAAAGCCAGATATCTGATCTGTCTGTCTCCATTTATACCACTGTTCATCATCTTTCAATAACAGGTGCTAATAAATAGTTAATCATGGATTGGCTCGATCTCCCTATTACATAGCAACAGAGAGTTTGTTAGATACTGTTTTCGGTCTTCTTTTAATTACTGTTGTGGGAAAACTTAGGCAAAGATACAAGTGTTGCTCTTTCGTTCTGGGTGCAGTGAGATTCATGGTCATTCCAATCTCTTGAGGAAAAGAGTTTCATAGCCTGGATGTGGAAAAAACTCTGCTTCCATTTCTCATTAATCTTGGTTTTGTAGTTTCAGAAGCAACAAGTGTCATAGAAAGTGTCTCAGACCAGTCTACTGAGAACTTTGGTAGAACCATGTGATAATGTAAATGGACATCAGTAGCTCTGCTCCTGAGACCATTGCAGATTTGGATTTTTATCTGTAAAACAGGCAAATAACTCCTTGTAGCAAGAGATAATGGCCCTGTGAATGTGTGCACACATTCTTGGTTAACTAAGTTGTTTATGGTTTGAAATGATTCTGATGAATGTGACTTTATGTCCAGAAAGATAGAGAAGGGAAATATTTGATCTTTTCTATTGCTGAGTCATAAGACTAATGGAATTCCTTATACAAATGTTAAATTCACTTACTCGTTTTAAACTTTGGGTTAAAAAATCTAATGAAAATATAACTGCTGTCTCTTACCAGTGTGAGCCAGATCAGAATAGAATTTTTTACCTAGTTCCATAGAGCTGTGTGGTTAATGAGCCCTTGTGCTGACTCTAAAATGTAATTTTAATAGACTAATGGGTTAAGTTTCCACATCACTTCTGCATACAGAGGTTGCTACTCTAAAGTAATTGGCCCCACTTGTGTTGATTTCATCTGGCACCTCACGAGGACAGCTGATATAGTCAGTGTTATATGTTTGATTGAATTTTGGCCCATTTCCCTGATAATTTGGACGATGAAAATCTTCCTTGTAACTTTTGTAGTATCAATAAAGCACAGAGAATCACTGTCGAATGTACTTTATTGGCACTTTGAGATTCTATGCAAAGTTGGTATCAAAATTGATTTAGGGTGAGTCTGCTCTGCACTGTAGGTCGAAATAAGATACAAAATTGCATATCCTATTTTGATCTTATTTAAAAATAACTTATTTCATCATATGGCACTATCTACACAGTGCCAAATTTTGAAATAACCCACTATTCTAAAACATCCCTTACTCCTCGTGGAATGAGGTTTACGGACACGTCAGAATGGCGAGCCCGTTATATTTCGAAATAATGGGCTTCCTGTGAAGATGTGAAATAGCTGTTTCGGGCTACTCTAGTATCCCAAAATAGCACTGCAGTGTAGACTTAGCCTTAGCGTAACATGGGCAGCATTGCTAGAACATTAGTTTCATTTTTTTAATCTTCTAGAACTGCTCTTTTAATTCCAATTTGTTATGCATACCTGTAGTGCTATGTGTGTATTGTTAATGTTTAATAAATAATTGATTTTACTGAA